GGGTGGCGAGCAGCGGGGGCGGGGCGAGCGCGTCGCGGCGGAGCACTGCATCTGTTGCGCCCTCTGGCCGGTGACGCGTGGCTACTGCCTTGCCCGGCCCAGCCCCTGCGACCGTCCCCAGCTGGGTGCACCCGCGAAATTCCGCGGCTCCTGGACTTTTGCACTGGGCCGCGGGCGGGCAGCGGGCGGCCGTCCGCCGGCGTCCGCGGAGTCAATGCTTTGCGGTGTCGCCGCGGCGCAGCACCAACGGACGGCAGGGCACGGCTGTCTCAGGTGGTGGCAGCTGCGCGGCCCGCGTTCAGTGTCGCTGGCGTGTCGCCCGTTGGCTTTGGGCTGCTCAACGCTGACCGCAGCGAGGGCCCCGTCCCTCTCCCCCCTCCGCAACCCCGCCCTTCGTCCCCTGTTTTGGCACGTGCCGCGCAAGCGCCTGCCCCTGACACTCGCGAGGTTTTTCCTGGGGGATCGCGCTCTTTGACCCGCGTGACAACGCCCTTTGTGGCCCAGGCCCAGGATGGCTGGTGACGTTGCTGCCGTTTTTTTCTTATCAGAGTTTGCCTGTCGTCCCTTTGGCCTGTGCCTGTAACGCCCCAGTGCTCGCAGACCAGTTGTTGCAGACCAGTTGCAATGTGCATAAGGCAGTACAGTAATATGTCATGCAACAACGTGCAACGACTGAGTGCAGGAGCCAGCCATAGAAACAGAATGGCAACATGCATGTTCAACGCGTGCATGTGCAATCTGAAGCCTGAAGCATGCAGACGGGTCAACGATACAAGATCAACAATGAGAGTGCCTGTTCATGCAGGTGCATGTGAGTGGTGGGTCAATGTGTGAAGGACACCTGACGATGATTGAAGCACCCAGCAGTGCGGAATATCAAGGAAGGATGATGCGGGCGCTGCACTGTTGCAGCTGCGCCTCGCATGCGTGTTGTCTGAGCAGTCTTGTGCAATGCAATGCTTGCCGTCAAGCGGCCCTTTTTACGGCCCACGGATGCATGCAGTTGTCCACAACACGGCACAGTCATAAGCGCATCAGAAACGCCTAAGGCTTTGGCAGACCGCACAGGAGCCGGCATCGCGCGGTGGAGCGGATTGAGAGGGCAGGCTCTGTTCGGAGCTGGCCCTGCTGCAGAGCACGCATCCAGCGCTAAAGCCGCGGAGCGTCGCCGCCACCCAGTGGCCTTGCTGGCCCCCTACGCGCTGCCCCGCTACTTGCTGCCCCGCCCACCGTGGCTGCCGCGGCCGCCGCCGCCGCCGCCGCCGCCCCTGCCCTCCTCGTTCCTCAGCCCTGAGCCGCCGTAGTACCGGCCGTAGCGCCCAAACCCCCCGCCCCAGCCGCCGGTGCCGAACGCCGAGTAGCGCGAGGTGATGGAGTTGATGTAGTCTTCGCTGTAGGTTGACGCCGCGCCCTGCTGCGCAAGACCGGCCTCCAGCTGGGCGCCGCCGCCCAGCTTGGCAAAGCCGTTGTACGTGGGGAGCGAGCCGATGCCGAAGCCCTGCCAGCCGTCGGAGACCTGAAGCAGCTTCCGGGCAGCTTGAAGGCGGACCGGCTTCGCGGCTTGGACGGCCACGCAGAGTGCTGCATGTGGCCGGGAGAGGAGGGGTTGTTTCGGGTGAAGGGTGGGAGGTGGGAGATGAGGAGAGACAGGGCGCGCGGAGAGGCGGGAACGCCGGCCGCGGCGCGTGCGGCGGTGCCTTGAGCATGCTGCGTTGTGACGTGACAGTGTCCGGCGGTGGTAGCCGCGCGTCAGCTGGCAGGGGCCCTCTGAGCCTGCGCCGGCAAAGAAACCGCTCCCAGGTGGTAGAGGGGCCAACAGAGCGCCCACGCCCGTAGGGGGCACTAGACACGAGGACTCTTTCAGCCAATCCCCCCATGGCGCCACCCAATGGCATTATTTGCTCACCGGACGCAGCCAGCAGCGCGGCGAGGGCCACGGCTGTGCGGGTGCGATGAGCGGCACGGGGCGCCATGGCGACAATCACGGACTCTGTGGGAGGCGCAGCCTTGGCTTGGGCACGGTCCTGAGAATGCGAGAAGAATAGAACAAATGTTGAGATAACCTTTCATGTGTTTTGTCTAGCCGTAGACGCCGATCGCTTTGCGGTAGCCCTCACCTGTCGAGCGCAGTCCACGAAAGCGGCTTTGCACGAGCTAAGCTGATGTGATCCTAGTCTTTAGAGACCCTGAAATGCGGTTGACTTGACAATGCTGGAGAATTTGAGCTGAACCTTCAAGCCGGGAACTGAAGAGCCAGGGTTGCTGCCAAGTCAGCAAGAGCAGTATGCTGACCTGACAAGCGCCGGTCAGCGCTTTTGAGGTGTAAATCCACCAAGAAGAAGGGATTGTTACAGCACTGGTTTGGTGGTACAGCAGGGCTTGCCCGTGACAATGTCGCCAGAGCCCAAAAGGGTGCAAAGGGTACGGGCCCCCAGATTGCGCCAGACTGTAGGGCGCTCTGCACCCTCCAAAACAGCAACCAGCAAGAAAAGGGATGTCGACAAAAATCCAGCCCACGCCTGACGACGACGTGGGCACAGCCATGCTTGTGAGGGCCAGCCGCTCAGCCAGGCGCCGCCTAGTGGGCAGCGTCCGAATCGGTCAGCCTCTGCCCCCGGGGCTTCCGCCCGTTGAGGCCGTGCCCAGTGCCGTTAAGGCCGTGCGTCCCGTTCAGCGACTGCGGCGGCCCCGCAAGCGGCTGGGCCCCGGGCTGCCGCTGCGGCTGCTGCCGCCGCTGCCGCTGCTGCTGTTGCTGCTGAGGTTGCTGCTGAGGTTGCTGCTGCCTGACTGCTATGGGCGACCGCACAACCTGCCGCTGCGTCGTAGCGCCCGCCGCCCCCGCAAGCTGCTGCGC